TGGCGTTGCCAAGCTTAGAGCCATGGTTGCACCATGTTCTGGTTCAGCCACGGCTTAGACCAGTTCCAGGGGATCCCAGATTGTTTCGGGGCTTACTGGACTTACTTCAGCCGTTGACAAAGGTTGTGCCCTAAATGGTTACCAGGGTTCGCCAACGTCCGCTGGCACGACAGGATGCAGCACCTTCAGTAGCGGCCCTCAGAAAAGCGGATGGAGCCTATGTCACCTTTCAAATTGTCTTTCTTCAACGTAACTCTATACAGAACCAGGATCTTTTCATTACCCCTCTGGTAATTTAACATATAGCCGCGGAAAACCACAATGCTTAATCCAGAAATCACTTGTAAATGAGCGATTCTTAATGGCTATGTTCCATTCCCGGAGGGTAAGTGGCGGATTATTGCCATACGCAAGGGTAAGTGGCGGATTATTGCCATACGCACTTGTCACATAGCAATCTCAGGGCTGTTGGAAGCCCCCTTTTGGGGTTCCCGGTAAACCTGACCTCGATCCCAGGCTAGACGTCGACCAGCGGCGAGCGGTGCGACGCCTCCTGCGGGCGCAGGCAGGGTGTCAGCAAGATACCCAGCAGGACTAGGCATGTCACCAGCAGAAATTGGATGATTGAAGGTGTTTGCTTAAACCTAGGTCAATCTTTGATGGGTACTTTAATCCTTTAGTCTTTTGGTATCAATGGGAATATCTACTAACCAGCAAAGAATAATTTATATGTTTTTGCAGGGCGTTAAAGATTGGCAATGAAACCAGGAAAATGATAAGATAATTATGTTGTATGTAAGCTTTGGAGGCCCCAATGCTGTGTATATATATATATATTACAGTACTCTTTTTTGAACATCATTTTTGTTGATGGTGGTGTAGCTTGTGATATTAATTCCAGCGTGCTAGTTGCCTACAGGAACACTGGTTTCATTTAGCGAATTCTGAATCATGCTGCCTTGAAACCCCGGCACATTTGGCTTGAAATAGTGGATATATAATGATATATAGAACGTTTGGGGGCTCCAGCCGTAGCTTGAATATCGGGAGGTGCCCGCATGGCAAGGGGAAACCGCCCATTTGTAGATAGTCTTTCTTTTGAAATCTTTACCAGAATATAAAAGATAGTGAGCCCCATTTTGGTGGCAAATGAGCTTACACACGCATTCTATCCCATTTAGGTTTGTTCCAAAGTGGGGGGGATACCCTGCGGGGACCAATGATGATCAATAAGCACTTTCCCAGGGAATCTTCCAGGTGCATTGGCCACTCCTGCCACGCCAGGTCAGGCGGCAAAGCCGTCAGCTCACTCAAAATGGGGCGGGTGTGGAAACCACCAATGTTAGGATAGGTGGGTCGGGTCCCGAAACGTGGCTCTTTTGAGTTTGACCCCAAAGGCCAAGCCATTTGGCCCTATTCCTGCACTTCATACAGTACATTTCCCTTGTGGCTCCACCCATGTTGTAAGTTTTGTGCTGTGGCTTCCAACCATGAGGAACCTACTATCCTGCAGTTTTGTTTTTTAAAATTGTATTTGAGGTCAGTCCTTGTTGGGTGAAACCACATGTGGACTCGGTCTTCTGGATCAAATGTAGCGAACTCAATGATTTTCAATGGACCTCACCCCGTTTGATAAGTTTCCTTGCAGATATTCCAATGCATGGCTGCAGCTAGATATTTATATATTGAATCCATATGCTTCAAATTGAGGACTCTTCTTCCAGCCCAAGATTATTAAATGTGGTTCGTAAGCCTAGCAGTTAGGGATGATTTGGATCCCACCCATTTACAATGATATTGGAGACGATTAAATCCCAATTTTTGTGGCTATGTCCCATTCTAATATCTCATGAAAATCATCAATATCATATGGAACATCCGCCAATGTCCCAATTATTGTTCCCGGTTGGAGATGATTTTTACCAACCCTTTATACCCTCCAGTAATCAAACATGGTTTGCTGGAAAATCCCCAGTTATACTTGATTTTCCCAACTGGAAACCTGCATTTATGGGGCATTTCTAATTGCCACGTTTAATTACTGGAGGGTAAATCAATTAATATCCATGGTGCAGTGATTATCTCATGATTGTCCTATGATTATCCCTGATAAACCATGTTAACATCCCGTTAAAACACCATAAAAATCCCATTGATATTGTGGAATCCTTCCTTTTGCGCAGCACCTAGCGGCTTTGAGGTCTGCCAGCGTCGCCGAGGACCAAGAACCCATGTGGTCTGGGAGACTCAGCGAAGGGGAGTGGGGACCACGGCTGTGGGTTGAAGCTTTTGGATAGTTTACTACAAGCAAGATGTTAAAATGCCATAGTTGCATGTGTTTGTTGCAGTTTTATTTTTAGAGGATTTAACCTGATTTAACCTGTATCAACATGGTAGGGTGTATGTTTACTGCAGTAATGTGCTGCATCGCTGACTTTCGATCATTTAAATATTGCCCGATTTTGCACTTGGATGCACTTGGCAGTTTGAGGAACTTCGAAGTCAAACTATATCCTGGTGCTGGTTGTTTATGTCTTTTGAAGTTTGTGGATTTGTCATGGTCCACCTGGGTTTACAGATCCAGATTTTGAAGCCCTGCCACTGTCGGCAGTTCCCGTGGTTTGGAATCTTTCCGATCGTTAAAGTCTTTTGCGCTTGAGTGGTCATGTATGTCAGTGTTATGTTTATGCGATCGTTTGGGTCCACATCATGGGCCCCACAATGAAACCATGCAATCTTGTGGATTTGGTCGAAAACCTCGCCCAGGATCAATCCTTTCCCAATGTTTTTTCCCATTGGAGTTCCCGTCTCTCTGGCATGCGGCTGCGGTTCCAAAAATGGTCCAGGCCAATCTATGCTGTGCTGGGCATTTTCTGCGTGATCCTGCCACTTGGGTCGCAGGGTGAAGCTGGAGCACAAGCGAACAAACTTAGCAAGAATTGGGATGTAGGGCATCCTTAGCACCAAACCTCAAAGATGTAATTCCATTACACTTATTTACACATACAATTATACATATACATATTTATATATATATGGATACTGTATACCGTACAAGATGGCTAAAAGTGCGTCCTGTTGGACATGATTTCTTGTCAGGATTCAAGGTGTCAAATGATACGAGGTTGCAGTAGCAGACGCTGACTTTGTCTCGACGGACTGCCGAAAGGTTTGACAGACGTTTTTGTTTTGCTGTTGTGCAGCACGCAGCCGCAGGCTTCATCCGCAGGTTTTTTTCAATTTGCAGGTCGTTGGTTTGTTAGAGACGGTTAGAGTATCAAGACACCTTGAAAAAAAGACAAAGTCGAAATTCAGTGCTTTGGCCATTGATAGGCTTTTTGCAGCCCAGCTTAAGTGCTTTGAAGACTTGTAGTGTTCAACCCTGCTGGTGCTGCTACAATGGAGGGATATAAGTACTGAACATAAGAATTCAGAGCAGGCAGCAGCGAAAAGTATAATTTTACATAATTTCTATCTATTCTGCACCGCGCCACTCCACTGCCATGGCCGAACCACAGAGAGACACACAGATCCTTGCACAAGTTTGCAGCAACAATGTGTTTTTCCCAAAGCAGCGCAACCGAAAGAAATAAAGAACATTGTTTGTCATAGGATGGGTGAAAGCGCACATGTTATAATAGACAATTGTACTACCGTACACAAAGGTCCAATACTGTCTATATATAATCATATATAATCATTTATAATCATATATACATGTCTATACATTGTAGCACCCGGCAAAATGCGCCGAAAACGATAGTTGTCCATTTACAGCTTACATTTTTCAGGACCAATGTTGTGATTTCGCTTGGCAGCTCAGGGTCCTCGCAGGCTTCAAGGCCATCAGAAACATGGAACTTCCTCTAGAAAGAGAGCCATCTGCTCTGCGTGAAGTTGCGCGTGCCATCCGGAGGGTTGCGAAGGATATATTGCCCGGTGCAGTTGAAGAAGTGTGCCCAGAGGTTCAGGACTGCTGGCGTAGCCGATTGGGTGACAGCTGCAGAACCTCTTGTTTAATAATAAGTGCACGTGCCGTTGGTGTCCAATCCCTTCATTTATACAATACAGGTTCGTATAATAATTGTAACCAAGGCCAAACAATAAGAACCTCTGGGACCATTGTTTTGTCCTGTGGTGTTGCCTGCGCTGGGTGCGACCAGGAACACAGCAATGCCCTGGATGTGTTCCAAGCTATTCGCGACATTGCCAACGAAGCAGTGCATGCTCATCAGAAGTGGGGATCAGCTTGCGGAAAAAAAAATTATCCGTGCGACTCTGAGAGTGGAGCAGCTGCTACCACCTTTCGTGCGGATGACGAATGAAGAGATCCTTGGAGAAGTTGGTTACAAAATTAAGAAACATCTAATGCTCTCAAACCAATAAGTAGGACAGGAATTCACATGACATACGATTAGCCATAAGCACAGAAACACAAGCTCCTACCTTATAGCTCGCGGGGCACAGTTTCAATCACCTCTTTTTGCTATTGCTGATTTCTGCAAACAATCAGGGTCCTGGCAAAGTTTGAGCGAATTCGACAGTTGGCATTGGCGATGAAGAGTGCAAAACATGCAGCTCCGGAAAATGCAGAATATGAAGCGCCGGAGATGTGGTACTTGACCCATGAGATCCTGCAGCTCGCGAAAGAAATCCAGGCATCCCTTGCATCTTCCGAGCGAGAAGATGCAGAGGAGCAGGACCCCAGACGTAGTCAACAACTCTTGTTTTTTGTGGATGGCATGTCATGTCCAGATAATACACCAAAAACATCCAAAAACCATGTCAATGTGGAAAAAATGCCATGTGTGTCCTTTTCATTGCACTAGTGCCACCGGTTAAAGATGTTAAAGAGTGAATTTATGTTGTGACATGCAAGCCTCCAGAATGTTATTGGGGAGCTTGCTTGCGTTTGCCTGGTGGGGGCCAGGATCACGAAGATGTTTGGGAAGTGTTCGAAGTAATTTTTGGTTGTGGATACGGGGCAGTGCTTGATGCAGACGCTGCTCGCCAGAACTAGGGATCAGCTTGCCAAAGGATCATCCGTGCCACGCGGAGGGCTGAGCAGCTTCTGCAGCCTTTGGTGCCGGTCGAAGTTTTTCCTGCGGATTCTGATGTGTTCACAAAGCCCACGGCCCCATCTCATTCACAGGCACCTCCAGCCACAACCTTCACGGCAGAGACACAAACACAAGGCGAGGTGGAGGCTTCAAACCCTCTAGAGGAGAGCTCCGGCGGTGCCAACGAAACGAACATGCAGGAGTTGGAGCACAAGCTACTAGAATTGCAGGTGGAACACGGAAGCCAAGATCATCTTGACATTGCTGCAACACTTCATGCCTTAGGCCAGTTGAATCTGCAGTCTGGCGATTATGACCAAGCAAAGCAGCAGATGCAGGAGTCCTTGCGAATGGTCCGCTCCTTATTTGGGGACAGGGATCACCCTGACATTGCTGCAGCACTTCATGCCTTAGGCTACTCGAATCTGAAGGCTGGCGATTATGACCAAGCAAAGCAGCAGATGCAGGAGTCCTTGCGAATGAAACGCTCCTTTTATGGGGACAGGGATCACCGTGATATTGCTGTAATACTTCATTCCTTAGGCCGGTTGAATCTGCAGGCTGGCGATTATGGCCAAGCAAAGCAGCAGCTGGAGGAGTCCTTGCGAATGAAACGCTCCTGGCATGGGGACAGGGATCACCCTGACATTGCTGCAACACTTCATGCCTTAGGCCAGTTGAATCTGCAGTCTGGCGTTTATGACCAAGCAAAGCAGCAGATGCAGGAGTCCTTGCGAATGGTCCGCTCCTTATTTGGGGACAGGGATCACCCTGACATTGCTGCAACACTTCATGAATTAGGCCGCTTGCATCTGGAGGCTGGCGATTATGACCAAGCAAAGCAGCAGATGCAGGAGTCCTTGCGAATGAAACGCTCCTTGTATGGGGACAGGGATCACCCTCACATTGGTGCAACACTTCATGCCTTAGGCCGCTTGCATCTGGAGGCTGGCGATTATGACCAAGCAAAGCAGCAGATGCAGGAGTCCTTGCGAATGAAACGCTCCTTACATGTGGACAGGGATCACCCTGACATTGCTGCGACACTTCATGAATTAGGCCGCTTGCATCTGAAGGCTGACGATTATGACCAAGCAAAGCAGCAGATGCAGGAGTCCTTGCGAATGAAACGCTCCTTTTATGGGGACAGGGATCACCCTCACATTGGTGCAACACTTCATGCCTTAGGCCAGTTGAATCTGCAGTCTGGCGATTATGACCAAGCAAAGCAGCAGCTGGAGGAGTCCTTGCGAATGAAACGCTCCTTGCATGTGGACAGGGATCACCCTGACATTGCTGCAACACTTCATGAATTAGGCCGCTTGCATCTGAAGGCTGGCGATTATGACCAAGCAAAGCAGCAGCTGGAGGAGTCCTTGCGGATGGTCCGCTCCTTATTTGGGGACAGGGATCACCCTGACATTGCTGTTACACTTCATGAATTAGGCCGCTTGCATCTGGAGGCTGGCGATTATGGCCAAGCAAAGCAGCAGATGCAGGAGTCCTTGCGAATGGTCCGCTCCTTGCATGTGGACAGGGATCACCGTGATATTGCTGTAATACTTCATTCCTTAGGCCGGTTGAATCTGCAGGCTGCCGATTATGGCCAAGCAAAGCAGCAGCTGGAGGAGTCCTTGCGAATGAAACGCTCCTGGCATGGGGACAGGGATCACCCTGACATTGCTGCAACACTTCATGAATTAGGCCGCTTGCATCTGAAGGCTGGCGATTATGGCCAAGCAAAGCAGCAGCTGGAGGACTCCTTGCGAATGGAACGCTCCTTTTATGGGGACAGGGATCACCATCACATTGGTGCAACTCTTCATGCCTTAGGCCAGTTGAATCTGCAGTCTGGCGATTATGACCAAGCAAAGCAGCAGCTGGAGGAGTCCTTGCGAATGAAACGCTCCTTGCATGTGGACAGGGATCACCGTGATATTGCTGTAATACTTCATTCCTTAGGCCGGTTGAGTCTGCAGGCTGGCGATTATGGCCAAGCAAAGCAGCAGCTGGAGGAGTCCTTGCGAATGAAACGCTCCTGGCATGGGGACAGGGATCACCCTGACATTGCTGTGACACTTCATGAATTAGGCCGCTTGCATCTGAAGGCTGACGATTATGACCAAGCAAAGCAGCAGCTGGAGGAGTCCTTGCGAATGGAACGCTCCTTGCATGTGGACAGGGATCACCCTGACATTGCTGCAACACTTCATGAATTAGGCCGCTTGCATCTGGAGGCTGGCGATTATGACCAAGCAAAGCAGCAGCTGGAGGAGTCCTTGCGAATGAAACGCTCCTTATTTGGGGATACAAATCACCCTGACATTGGTGCAACACTTCATGAATTAGGCCGCTTGCATCTGGAGGCTGGCGATTATGACCAAGCAAAGCAGCAGATGCAGGAGTCCTTGCGAATGAAATGCTCCTTGTATGGGGACAGGGATCACCCTGACATTGCTGCAACACTTCATGAATTAGGCCGCTTGCATCTGGAGGCTGGCGATTATGACCAAGCAAAGCAGCAGATGCAGGAGTCCTTGCGAATGAAACGCTCCTTGTATGGGGACAGGGATCACCCTGACATTGCTGGATCACTTCTTGGCTTAGGCACCGTGAATCTGTTGGCTGGGGATCCTGATCAAGCCAAGCAGCAACTGGAGGAGTTCTTGCGAATGTTTCGCTCCTTGCATGGAGACAGGGATCTCCCTAACATTGCTGGAGCACTTGTTGCCTTAGAATTAGCTCAGCTAGTGTAAGTACGTATTCTTGCCCGGGGTTTTGAGTAATGGAAGCAGCAACTGGAACAGCTTTTATCCACATGATTGCTTTTTGGCACTTGTGGCTAGATGCCTCGATTTCTGAGATCCCCCTTGCATGAGCCAACAGAGGCGGCTGACACCCGTTGTTGAGACTAGGTGCCACACACATTTGCTTTATGTCATTTTGATTCCAAGTTCGTGTTGCCAGCTAGAAAGGCTTGCCCAATGGCTGGGCACGAAGAAAATGCAGCAGTGATTTCTGGGTTTTCCCACTCTGAACTGGAACATTTGCAGACCTAGATGATCCGTTTACAACTGACCCACAGTCCAAGGGCAGCTGCCATCTGCCATCGCGGCCTCAGGTTGTTCTTCTGCCGCTCAGCCTGGCTGGAGAAGACCCAGGCAATATTCCGAGAAGTTGTTCATAGTTTGGCCAAATCTATGTATGTTTGTCCGGGGGCCATGGTGTTCCTTTAGGATTTTATCATGTTTAGGATTGATTCAAACAAGTTTGTTAACCAGTCTTATTGTCACTTTCAATTTCCCTTTCCTGCACTTCGCGGGTGTGGTCCCAAAAGCTTGCATGATTGACCTATCCAAGACGAAATCCAACTAGCAAACATTGAAGCCTCATGGAGAAGGCCAAAGGTGGATACCCAAAAAAAACTTTGTCAACGGTGTCACCCTTCCCCTTTCGAGGCGCTGCGATGACGATGAGGCGGTGTCTTGTTGCCCATGCTCAAAGTCCCCAGTCCATTTTTACCCAATTGTGGGTTTTGGGATGCCAACCTTGTAGCCCCAGAATCGCCCTGCAACAGCCACTATGAGTTGACCTTCTTGCGCCAGGTGACCAACGTGACAGGAGGAAATGCGTGCAAAAAATGACCCGAAATGCGGCAATGAGATGCCTGCCCTATGGGGGGTTTGTTGGTTGGTGGCTCATGGTTGGACGCAGTTCGTATGTAATGGGGAATCCTAGGGTAGATCAAGACTATGTATATAACAACATCCAACAATAAGGGATAGACCCCCGAAACAATCCAGAACTTTTGTTATTTTTGTTGCTGGTTTCGGACATATGTGGTTTTCACTCTCTTCTCTGGACGAATATAGTTTTTTCTTGTCTTGGGATAGGATGAAACCACCAGCCACTGAAAGTGAAGAACATCATATCCGAGACGAACTTGTGAATGTGAACCTGACATTTTTCATATTCTCTTTGATGCCTGGCAAAAGCCAACAACTGACCTCGATGTTCTCAGAAGTCAGGCAAGATAGCATCACCACACTATTGCTTGGCGCGTTCGAGGCTCCCTCTCTTGCTCGTAGAGGTATTGTAAGCGTCGGTGATGGGCAGTTGGCTTGGTGGGGTCACATGGTTGAACTGACGTATGTTGAAACATGTTGAAACCATGCCACATTGTGAACATTTGAACCAGTTAGAATCCCAAAATTCAATGCATTTGCCTTTCAAACATACAGTTTCATGAAATTTTGGTTGGGTTTTTTGGGGGTCCCCAACTTTTGGAAACACCAGGTATTCATTTTGCCCTTTGCCTCATAGCCTGGAGCTTGGCAAGGTCCCCCTTATTGGTTGAAAACATGCTGAACCCTGGCCTTACCATCATGGAGACTATTGTTGAGGTACCAAAGTCGAAAGCATGCATTCAACACGTGCCCAGAAGGGCGAAGGTGGAATTGTCACTGCGTCTTGCCACCCATGGCATCTTGTTGGCGCCGGAAGCGGCGGAGGAGTGCTGCCGGCTGCTTACCAAAAAAATGATTTTGAGGGTGCACACAAGGGCACATGCTGAGGGGGGCATGGCGATGTTTCTGGGAAATGTCAATATCGAAGAGCCGGCTTGGCTCATGGGATTGCAACAAAACGAGTTATTTGCTAGGTTTGCATTCAAAGCGCTTGTTTCCTAGGTACAGTTTTGCATGTTGCCAAACCTCAATGTTATCATTTGTTTACCCCCTTTCTTCAGCGTGGCCAAACCTCCATGCCCTAAGGACAGACAGCTGTTTTTTCTAGGATGATGTCCCGGGGTGAGACGTGCAGTTTTACTCCCAGTTGTGGCCTGGGGCCGTCACTTCATGTCACTTCCAAAACTGCCTGTAAGTAAGAAAATGTCCTGTTACAGAATCATGACAATCATCTTATATCATCTTAGTTTTTCTTGAAAATGAATTGGTGCAATCAGTCAGCCGCTCAGCCCCGCTGCCCCAAAAATTATGGAATCCCAAACAAGTGGTTGAAAAGTTTTAGGAGATTGCCATGGTTTCCCTTCCATTGTTGATTACTGGGCCCCTACAGGTTCACATTCCACTTCCGTGGAACTCAGGTTTGGCATTTCTTGCCCTTTGGAACTGCAAGCCGACGAGCACTTTTGTGTGGTTTCCCCGCATAGCCCAGGCCTGATTGGTCGCGCGTAGGGAGACGAAGCTTCCAACCCATCATCCCAGTTGCTGTTTATCTGGGTCTCTTTTGATTGGCATCATCAACTATGTTTGGAAATACGCCGATGAAGCTGGCTGGCGAGCCACCACAATGGGGGCGACAGGAATGCCATGCGTTTGGGAATGACAATCGCTGGAGCATTGACCAAAAAATCATCTAGAATCTAGAATATAAATGTGACTTTTTCGGAGCGGTGATTGGGATTGTTCCTTTAGATCGGCAATCACCTTTTCCACGCTTCCAGTCACAGCATGTTTTTGTGTCTGATTATTTTTTCTTGGCGGACATGTCCTTACTTTTGAAACCTTATCTCCTTATGATCTGGGTTCACAGATCTGTTTCCTGAATGCTCATTTCCCAATTTTTACGTGACCTTATAGGACCCGCTACTTTGTTGCAACTCCTTGTGTGAGACAAAGATCTGGCATTTTTGGTGCCAGAGAATGTACGATTTCGTAGCTTCACTTGGGCCACTGCAAATCTAGTGGGGTCGGTTGCTCTTGTAAGAACAATTTTCTTTTTCGCCAGCTGGAAGGAAAGGATGCCCATTTAGGTCACCTTCATGAACCGCACAGTGGGCCCCTTGTACTAAAGAGGCCGAAGCCACATGACTTTCGCCCAATGACACGGGCGAAGAACTTATCCAGCTTCATATCAAAATATGTATGGTATCTAGAAGGCCGTTACTTTTTCCTCTATAAAATGGCAGGGGTCAACCCCCTCCATAAAACGTTTTATGTTATGGTTTTGGGGGGGTATATACCTGCCATTTTATAGACAATTTATTTGTTTTCATGTATCTAGTGCCCTAGGTTTTTCTTTTGGGTATATATCTATCTTACATCTTGGGTTCTAGGGTTTAAGTCCAGGAGCAAGGTGGTTATAAACAAAATCATGGTATTGTAGTGACCCAGGTTCTTCGCCTTTATAGAGGACAACTAGTCCAAACATGTTGTGCTACTTTACTTCGAGTTATCCCCACCATGACATCTATACGTTTTGTTACTGGCAAATCTCCTGGCATTCTTTCTGACATATCTTCTGGCATTTTATGTGGCAAATCTTCTGTCATTCAATCTGGCATATCTTCTGGCATTCTACCTGGCATATCTTCTGCAATATGTTCTGGCATATCTTCTGGCACTGTATCTGGCATATCTTCTGGCATATCTTCTGACATTCTATCTGGCATTCTATCTGGCAAATTGTCTGGCATATGTTCTGCCAAACATTCTGGCACTTTATCTGGCATACCTTCTGGCAGTCTATCTGACATTCTATCTGGCATTCTATCTGCCAAATCTTCTGGCGTTCTATCTGGCAAACATTCTGGCACTTTATCTGGCATACTTTCTGGCATTCTATCTGACATTCTATCTGGCATATCTTCTGGCATATGTTCTGGCATGTCTTCTGGCACTCTATCTGGCATATCTTCTGGCATATCTTCTGACATTCTATCTGGCATTCTATATCTTCTGGCGTTCTATCTGGCATATCTTCTGGCATTCTATCTGGCCGTTGAGGTCCAGCGGTGCTCACTGTGCTCGGAGGGTCCCAGGTTGAGGTCCAGCGGTGCTCACTGCGCGTGGAGGGTCCCAGGTTGAGGTCCAGCCGTGCTCACTGAGCTCGGAGGGTCCCAGGTGGAGGTCCAGCGGTGCTCACTGAGCTCGGAAGGTCCCAGGTCGAGGTCCAGCGGTGCCCACTGCGCTCAGACCCTTGCAGTTGAGGTCCAGCAGTGGCCACTGCGTGCGGAAGTTGGCGAAGAGCTTGGCGAAGAGTTGGCAAGGCGGAAGTGGACATGGAAGTGAAGGCAGAGGTGGTGGAGGAGAACGAGGAGAAGGAGAAGAAGGAGGAGAAGGAGAAGAACAACTCTGATAAAATCTAACAACCCTCACCTGGCAGGTGGGGAAAAACAAGAATTAAAGAAGCGGGGGTTGTAGCCCCAAGTTTAGCCAGATTTGACTTACACTGAGCCACAGAAAGATTAGGCCTATGCTGTTTCTTTTTAAGAATAACTTTGCAGCCCATGGATTCATCCCACATGGCGATTTGTGACAGTTTTGTTGCAATAGGGTGAACACATGTAATTTTTTGGTTTATCCCTAGGTGCAGTGAAACATCTGCAGGCTCCTCAGATATGTGGCCTGAATGCCGTTGACCCCAGCAACCCGGCCAGTTATTCACAATGTTTGTTCCAAGCTGCAGAAATGTGAGTTGCAAAGGAGGAAATTTCAGGGTGGCAGTGATGGCAGTGCCAAACAGATTGGATCATGAGGAAGTGGCATGAACCAAGAAATCAAGGGAATGCTTCGGCATGTGGTTTATTTCGCCCCAAGATATCTCGAAGAATGGTATGGGCTCTATTTAGAAAGATCCGCTTGTGCCTTGGGCCGGCTAAGAAATATTTGAGTACTTGGTGGACAAGTGTGAGCCCCACATTTTTTTCACTGCATGAGGTGCTTCGGAGCCGGCAGCGCTCGAGGAGGGCAGTGTTGTGAGAGCTGAAGATACCGTGACTAGGCTCCAATTTGAGCCAGTTGCCGTGAGGAAAGACACGTTTGCACGCCCAGATTCAGAATATTAGCAATGGCTGTTTTGCAGTTTATAGGGGTATCACACAAAAGGCGAAATTAGCTGAAAAATATACCTTTGAATTCCACTGGTGAAAACTTGATATAACATGATATAACGTTGGAAACTCGTATTTACAAACTTATGGAGTGGAAACCAATGGGTTGAAGGTTTAATCGGCAGACTCTGCAAGAACGGCGCCCTTTTGAAAGCTGCCTGGTTAGTATTGAGATATGTTCGGGAGGGCATCGGTGTGCTTCAAACCCACCCGTCCCCTTCGACACCAAAATTGTCTCATAGCATGCTTCTTGAACTGAGGGGAACATATAGCAAACATACCCAACAAAAAAATTGTTTGGATGGAAGGGCGTGATTTCAATCATGTAGTTGAACCTCAGACTGGCTGCTAAATTTCATTCTATTCCTTTAGTTTTGCTGGGCAAGCCCCATCTGTTGTCCAGTGAATTTCCATCAGCTGCGCCCTATGGCGCTGCAGTCTGCAAGGTGGCCCTGGTGATCGCCAAGCAGTGACACTTTTGTTTCGTGCAGCCACTGATCTACGAGGGCGACGAGCGTACTTTGGCGCGTGCGTCAGGTGAGTCGTTCGTAACCCCGGGTTCTTGAACTGAATCGTTCAAAAAAACGGGTGATAGGGTGTAGTTAAAGTACCGGTTGCCCAAGATTTTATATTTTAGGTTTAGGGGTACAGTAAACATCGACCCAAGAAAAGTCATGAGCTTCAATTCAAGGCAGGATGCAACCACTGCTTGTAAGGTTTGTTTGGGTGTGTAGTCAAGCATTTTTTAACTTACGTGCGTGGTTGTTTGGCTGTTTTATCGCCAATCTTAGTTGCTCAATATCATGCACCTCCGCGAGAAGCATTTAACATTCTTAGCTATGTGTCAGTGCTACATGTGTCCATGTTATTTGTTGTGGGTTGTGCCTTTATCAAATGTTGACGGGTGCACGTCCGCATTCCCCACTGTTTCTAAATCAAACTATTCTACCTTTCCAAATTACCAACTGGATAACCTTTGTCAAGGTAGTAGCGGAATTATTATGTTCATAGGGCATTATATATGGGCCATAATTACCCGTCAAAATGACGATCGCTTGAGCCCCCAGGTAAGCAAACCTTCACAAGTGCCATTTTGCAGATGCAGTATGTTTTGGTTGATGTTTTTCCGGGCGCCATTGAAACTTCAATTTTCTTTCTCTCGCCTTAGATGATGCTAGAGTCCGATAGAATAATGATCATGGTACAAGGTACAGAACTAAAATTGGCTCTCAATACCTGACCAGATTCAATTTACTAAACCAGGTTTTCTTTTTTTGTGCCACTCTTGTTGAGCTATTGCAATGGTAAATAATGATCACCAGATATACAAGCATTTGTATATACCATTGTTTGGTTGTTTAGATTGTCGTTTCCTATTGTCCTAGCTATTTCCCTCTTATACTGTATAACGTTTTGTCCCCGTTGCTGTGTTTTCATCCTATGTCATGCCATCCGCTGCTGCCGTTCCGAGGCTGGTCCCTGGACGATTCGGAGGAGCTGCTGCAAGTGCCTTCCGACGCCCTCCAGCCGCTGCCAGCCGTGCCGCTAGAGAGTGAGGTCTGGGTCGCTGGGCGCTAGTTACCAGCTTATGAGCACCCTTGTCCGGAAAGACAATTTTGAGAAACATATCATGTACCTCATTCTGCATAGGCTGATTGAACAACTGAAGAAATGAAAAAGATGCTGGGCTTCGAGCACTTGGAACACTGAAAAGATCAGAGGTTTGCGGATTTTAGTCAATGGGCTGGACCCGCAAAATCAGGCTTGGACCCCTATGAAGAGTTAAAAATCGGGGGGTTGAACCAGCAAAAACACAATAGCAAGAATTGTTGTGTTTATGCTGGTTTGTGTATGTAGGTTTATTTACAGAACCCAAAGAAAACTGGGTTGGACAGATGGTTTTGACAATTCTTTTTGGGAGATTCATATTAAAGGCTAGAAGTCTTTCTCAAGCGCATGGAGAAGATGGATGCCATGTGGCACCTCATGAGGTGGATGAAATACGATAGCCAAGCTGTCCAAACTGAGACTGGTAGCAGTTGGACAAGTCCGGAACATCAATGTTCACAAAATGTGCCCAACACAGCTTCACAAAGCAACCCGCTAACAAGTTAAAAGATACCATAAGCTGCCTTGTTCCCACACCTGCATGACAGTGGCATGATGCCGCCAAGTGCCAAGTTGCCAGGAGTCTGACGTCCCACAGTGGCGCATCGAGGGTGAAACCAGCTGAGGAGCACCAACCGCGAATGATGGCCGCGCACTGGTGGCTGGAGGGCGGTTGGGGTAGCCATCAGGGGCATTTCAACCCGGAACCACGCGCGGCAAGAGTCTGAAGACGTGGCTGTGCAATGGATGGCCCGTGGCATTGTTCAGATTTGTTTGTATTGTGCATTCGCGCATGTTTCGTTGGACCTTGTTTCTCTCAATCATGATATGAGGGGAACACGTTTGAATGAGTTTTGATTTTTTTCGGGATGGGTGGCTCCCCACCAACCAGTTGCACACAATCTTGAACCCCAGTTGAAAGCGGATCAATTGCCCCTACCTCCCGTGACCAATCGCTGCGATAGCTGCTTGGTTCAAAGCACGGAAAACATAATTTTCACAGACGTTGTTGATGTTGGTCTCCTTCAGGTGGGGTGAAACCTGTGGATTTACTGTTTTTAATGAAATTGGGCCTGAAAGCTTATGGGACGACAAAGTGCCAGCTGTCAGAATGCAACTTCTACAGGCTCATGGTTTATACAGTAGTGGCATGTCATGCGCTCTGGTGGGGTGATTTTCATTGATTTCCAACTGCAGTTGCCCTGCTTGGGCCCTAGTTTGTTGGCGTGCCATGGCGATGCAAGGCATCATTGTGCCTTGAAGACCTTGATGCCTCAAGGGATCCCAAAGCACCACTATCCTGTCGAATCACTTCAACGGTTTATTGGCCTTATTTAGGCCCCATATTTAAAGTTACTTTCATGAGCAACACCTTCCCATGAATTCTGGCAAGTTACTTTCAGTGCCATGATCCACTGATGATCATCACACTAAAACATCAAAGTCAAACCAGCCCATGAAAGACTTTCATTTGGCCGGTTCTGCTTCTCAGATTCCACTCGGCCCCTACCCAATCAGCATGATCATAAAATTGATGAAGATACACATCATTCTTCGTTATTGGGGATGTGTTGAAACCAGCGACCAATTGTTTTTGGAAACCCTTGGGCCCTTTGGGTGCAGCGTGTTGCCCTGTGCAGGCTTCGTGGTGCCCATTGCGACCCGTGTGGTGCAGCCGGCACCAGGGCTTCCACTTCAGGTGGACCGCTGCATCCATTAATCAAGCAACGGTTGAGGAAGCTGGGTTGATGAGAGCATTGACTGGGGATGTGGCTGGGGCTTTGCTTTCTATGATTGGGTTGTAGCCCCAGTTTCTGGCCAGTGGCTAAGAGGTGCGGTCTGCCCAATGGTGTATAGTATAATGGTGTATAGTATATTTTAATCCAAATGTTGCAATCAAATACCCAGTTTTGGTGGTTGAACTTTGCTTGCCTTCGGCCAAAAGACGCCAAACGACAGGGCATGTCCTCCATACGCAGGTACCTCGCCTTTCGGTGGCGCCTAGAGGGTCCCGCCACAGCGCCACAGTGCCCTTGCTGGCGGCGGGGGTCATCGGCCTGGTTCAGGAGGGTTGGGCGCAGATGGGCTGTCCGGGGGTGAGGTTTCAAGTTTGTTAGTCTCAGATGTTTACCAACCAAACACGGCTAGAACATAGGTTCATAGATGTACATCAACAAGACATGTAAACTGGAAAGTTGGAATTCAACATGAATATGATATGACCAACAAAGTTTCGGGGTTAATCAAAGGATTGTTTGCAAATCACAGTGAAATGCCCCAGCATCTCGCTGACCTCTACTCACAACCTGTCCAGACAATCGCAGAACGAAACCTTCCAAACCACCCTCATGTGATGACCTACTTGTGGTACACATTTACATTGCGCATGATTGCCCATGACCACCTTTAACCACCTAATTTTCCATGGTCTGGAAATTGTCAAGAACTTGGGGTATTCCTTCCAAACAGAAATACAGCTGGATGCTATTTCACAAGCAACCCCCCAACAGGTTGCTTTACCCCCCGCAACCCACAGGCCAACAGCTCCAGACGCCGTGCCGTGCGCGGTCCCTCGCGCGGGCGGCTCCATGCGCTGCCGGCCACCGTGCCGCCAGCGGCCGCCAGTGACTTGTCATGGTGGTAGGGAAGAATCGTTTGGGTTTCATGGTAATCATCCTCTGGTAGTAGTTTTTTTCGTTTCTTTCACTGTTTCACCAACCAAAATAGATTCCAATGACAAACATATGGTCTGCCACTCTAGGATAGTAGGGTACATGTTGGTAATTTTTTGCGCATGCTGTATTAGGTCAAAGGCAGAAAGAAATTCTTGTCTGAAGAGCCCTCAGGTAGCGTCATCGTCATGCCAGATGCTGACGCAGTGGCTTCCAACTTGTGCAAGCAGGCCGGGGTCACACGCCCAGAAAATTTGCCCCCCTATGCAGGTCCAAGATTCTTACCAATAGGTGTGCCAAAGCATGCCAAAGCTCAACGAAGGGGGCAGCAAATATCCCAAAGATTCCAAGATTATCCCAAATCCCAAATGTCTTCTTGGCATTCCAGGTTGTCCATCAAAAATCAACTTTGTCCATTCACATCCCCAAGGCCCGATGTCCATTACATCGCTGCAGATCTGCTTATCCCAGGTGGCGAAAGCCTGCAAAGACGCGGTGGCAGAGCGGGGGGCCTTTGCTCTGGCCATTCCGGGCGGCTCCATTTTGAAGGTGCCGCTAGTTCGGGTCACCTTGTGGGGGAGCAGTGCAAAGATGACCAGAGGCTGGTGGGTTTAGTTTTTTTTTTCGGTCCTAACACATGAGATGATGATACCTATTGACTTTTATGTTGTACAAGTTAGTGCTTCAACTACCAACCAAAAGATGTCCAACACGACATGACAAGTTGATCACGCCGTCTGCGGCATTTTCCGCCCCAGATGTTGGCCGGCGGCACTGCGGAGTTGGAAGGCCCACTGACACAAATGCATTTGGTTCCAGGGTGTAGCTATGGCCCAGTTTTGAACTGGATATTGCGGGGTAGGAGCCATGGTTACCAACCATTAGCTGGGATGGTCGCCCAAGTGAGATTTGCCATGTTATTTTCTGGATTTTTTTGGCATGTGTTTGCAATGATTGCGGACATGCGAGGCTTCATTTTCAACGGCCCTGGAGATGTTCCCATGCTTAAGTATAACCGTATAACTTGTTTTTTTCCGACACCTTTTGCGAAGAATGCAAAGAAACCCAAGGATCAAATAACGGTTCTATTTCCATTTTGGGATATCTTAGGGTCCTAAACAGATGGTTTCAATTTTCAGATCGGCTGTTGTCTTGTTTCCTTGGCAATTCAAACATGTAAAAGGATTAAACCTATGCCACATTTGTTGGACTGGGTTGAACCCAACAAGTTTCTCCTTGCGGGAGTGATGAACCAAACCGTCGCCAGGGATCGAGTGGGACAAGGGCGTGGGGCTCCACAGTCAGCTTGGGTGATCGTGGACAGGGATACATTTTGAGCAACTAGCAGGTGCTCAGAATCAAACAAACTGAGTTGGGAGAAGAGTAGTTGATCTAGCTGGAAAATGTTGGAAATGTGTATAAATATGTGGTTTGTTTTTTGGTTTTATGTCGATGCACTACTAGTTGCTTGAGTTTCTCCAAGACTTCGAAACGGACAAATCTAAATTGGTTTTCCCCAAGCCTGGGACATCTTCCAACCATCCATGTTTCCCCAAAATTTTCCCGGTAAAACAAAAGGTGCATTCCCCCATTCGGTTTTCCTCGGCTTTCCCAATTGTCAATACTTCTTATCTCTAGCCACCCAAATCATTGGAATGACACGGCATGGGCCCAGGTCATGGCATACGTCAACCACAAGTGCGTCAGCAACGACGATGCGGCCGCCACACACAAGAAGGCCAGGGCAAGGGCACCAGTGGCTGATGCCTGGATACAACATATATATACAAAAACTTTAAACCTAGCAGAGGTGGGGGATATAACACCAACATATGCGGCATTTATAAAGAGGTAAAACTTCAACAGCCAATGTTTATGGTGGTTGAACCCATACCTTGTAGATCACCCAATTGGTTTTCAATCAGCTCTTCAGCCACTCAACAGATCCAATAGTTGCTTCGATGTACTTAGGTTTGCCATGGATGTGTTTCACAACTGGCTCCAACACATCGGCAACGGGTTCTTCTGCAATCAATTTGTTGTAGATTCATGTCACCCAGCATCACCCAGCGCTATCCACTATGACAGCACCACCACCAGCACAGGCCATGGATTTGTTCCTCTCAGGTGCGCCCTTTCTACTCGTTGAAGAGCGCGGGGTGTGCAACCAGTGTGCAACTAAGTGGATCTACAAGGTAAAGGTTTACAGGTACCGGTGTCACAGGGATTCCATCGTAAGTCAATATAAATCATAATTATTGATCCGGAACTGTCCATAACAATCTTGGTTAAATATGTTCTTTAAAAATAGTTACACAACCACATTTTTGGTTACATCCCCATTTGTTGCTGATTTTCCCTCTATGTTTTCCGTTAGCTACGCGCCAACCCTGCCGGCCGCGCTTCGCCAGGCTGGCCCGGTTTGAAGGTCATCACCATGGGCGGCTCCGGGGAGGGCGAGGCGGAAGCTCAGCGCTACGAGGTGCGATGGGAGGACATTGGGAGGATCATCCATGGTGGATCCAGAGATCATAGTGGCTATGGGTTATGGGTTTTTATGGCCTCATAGCATGTAATTTCAATATTTGAGATGTATTATAAAGATCCCAGTGTAGTTAGAATTAATTCTGGACTTTCAATGTACAACAATTTAGCCAGAAATGGGAGGTACATGGGTGCACTTCATTCAGCTATAGGGGTACCACCTCAAAGGAGTTGGCGGCCATTGGCTTTTACAATTTATTACATGGGATATTGGAACAAGTAGCTCATATCAGTGCGCAAACTGGGTTGGAAGGGATGTTGCCCAATGAACCAGTAAACCAGGTGAATCGTAGCAATCCAACCTGTCTATTGAAGCACACGCTTCAGATTGAAACCTGCAATAGGAAACACACTCCTGAAACCTTGGCAGTGGCAATCGTAATTCTTGTCTTTTTTGTTGACAGTTAGACTCGACTTTTGATTTGTGGGTCAGAGTAGTGGGTAGCCTGTGTTTGGGTAGGCCATCTTTCGATGTGACCAATTATAATAAAGTACTTTACTTCGAGTGATCCCCACCATGACATATCATGGTGAGGATGACATAGATACCAGCAAAGAAACACAAATGACGTTCCTTCGGGTGATCCACTAAAATTCTATTCGACATGATCTTGTATTCTATTTGGAGTATCTTCTGGCATTCTGTGTCGCTATCTTCTGGCCGTTTATCTGGCAAATCTTCTTTCTGGCATTCTATCCTGCATATCTTCTGGCACACTTTCTGCCATTCTATCTGGCATATCTTCCAGCATTTTATCTGGTATATATTTTGGCGTTCTATTCTATCTAGCATATATTCTGGCATTCTATGTGGCATTCTTTCTCGCATATATTTTGGCATTCTACGTGGCATTCTATGTGGCATATATTCTGGCAGTCTATCTGGCATATATTCTCGCAGTCTTTCTGGCATATTTTCTGGCATTCCATCTGGCCGCTGAGGTCCAGCGGTGCCCAGTGAGCCTGGGCTCGGAAGGGCCCTGGTTGAGGTCCAGCGGTGCCCACTGCGCTCAGAACCTTGCGGTTGAGGTTCAGCCGTGCCCAATCAGATCGGAAGCCGGCTGTTCAGGTCCAGCAGTGCCCACTGCGCGCGGAAGCTGGCGAAGAGCGAAGAGTTGGCAAGGCGGAAGTGGACGTGGAAGTGGAGGCAGAGGTGGTGGAGGAGAAGGAGGACGACGAGGAGGACAAGGAGGAGCCGGAACAGCTGTGATAAAATCTAACAACCGTCACCTGGCAGGTGGGGAACAATAATAATCAACAATGGAAACACAAACAACCGTCAATAATATCATGTTCTTCAGTGTAACAGCTGGAAACGGGAAGCTGCCAAAGAGGGTGAACTTTGCCATGCTGATGGAAAGACCAACTTATATTGTTGCGTGCACTATCCGTGGCTGGACCTGGGCCCTGCCTGGCCGCAAACAGAATAGGTTTAATGAGTTTATTGGGGTAAACTGGTAAACCCAATAATAAACCATCCCCAGTAGAGGTTTAATGTTTTGTATACCCGTATTTGGATGATTTGAAATGAGTCCCAAAGGGTTGGTTAATCAGATGGTTTATTTTTGGTTTTACCACCCTGTCTGAATTGAAGCACGCACAAACACACAACTTGTTATGTAGTGATTCCCTTTTTCAGTGTTTCCCTGCTCAGCCAGCTGTTTGCCACAGCCCCGGAAGCATTGCCCCTAATACAGAAAAAACCAGACGCAGGAAAGGCAAGTTTATATTGCATACCTTCCTTCCAACAATTCACATGTCAAAAGGAACACGTCACATCCCACCAAACGTCGCCATACTAAATCTGAATAAATGATGTTATCTTCACCATATTATAACGAATTACACCATATCAATCCAGATTATACCAACCAACCAAAGGGTCAATTTTACCCATTGACCCATTGACCCATTGGGCCCATCATCTTCTTCGCCTCCAGGCCGAGCTCAAAGCCCTGCCGGAGACCACGCTGCCGCGGACAGATGGGATGCCCGTTTTTGCCTGGAACCCTGGGAACGGGTTACTTTGGCTGGTGGATCATGCAACTTCCCGAATCTTCAAACGGCTTTGGTTCAAGGCATTTGGGCACCAATGGACCATGATGGACAGGCAAAATTGTTGCTGTTTTGCATTTGAATCCATCAGTTTTTTTGAGGCTGATGATTTTGCATCATATCATATCCCAGTGCTTGACAGCAGCCCTGGTGTCGTGTTTTTTGGTGGTTTGTGTAGGAGTGGAACTGAACATGTGTTTGGTGGTCGGGCTTGGATATCGGACACCCTGGTAGACACAACATGTTTCCAGACAGTTTTAATTTGGAAGTTATTTTTGAAAAATCATCCATAACAGTGATAAACATAACTTTACATGTGCTGTAGGGATTTGAATGCATGATAGCCTTTTGACCTTTGCAGAAGCATCGGGTGAAACTGAGGACATTTGTCTCATCGGTGTGGGAGATGATGGACACTTTGGGTCACTGTACCCGGGGCGCCAGGACAGATTCGAAGTCTGAGCTGTGAGTTGACCATGTTGACCTCGAGCGTTTTATGACCCGTCATTATTTGGCATTTACAGCCACGGTTATCATCATGAATGGCAAATCATTGTCAGAAAAAACAATAGAATATGTGTTGGAATGTTTCTTGGCATGTGTTGTTGGGACGAGTTTGATCTTTCATCATGTCATGAGAACCCCTGTGAAACAGCCGGTAATTATTGATAGAACCTATCCACAAGATGTTTTGGAAAACCCGCACTCTGGCTCACAAAAGACAATATTACAATAGACTAAGCAGACGAAGAAACAACCGATTTCCTTCAAGGAGATTGCAGATGAATCCGGTCGCTGGGTTCTGCCAGTCTGAGGCTGAGTGTAGGACTGCCCGCAGCCCCATGCCAGTAGATTGGGATTGGATTGAGGCCTTGCCCCGGTCGATTCTGAGGGCTGGCTTGAAATACAAAGTTCGAGTGAAACTCCAATCATGTACTTTTCCCCGTTGTTTGGTGTTGATGAGCATTTCATGAGATGTAACCACTAAAAGCCACTAACCAGATACAATTTCGTGTGAGACCTTGGTTACCCCTAAAAATGGCCACCCAACAGGTCGATATGAAATCTCCGCCCAGCATCACTTTGTCGCCCAAAGCGATGATGGCGGCTAAGACGGTCAGCACCTTGTGGTTCCTTTGGGAAGGTCGTGGCATTGACCCCAGAACATCGATGGAAAACATGGGAGGCCCCGATAATAAGAAGGTCTTCAAGTAGGGTACATAATCATTTTTTCAGGAGCTTAGCATGCACGTGTCCACGATCTTTTGCAAAGCACTGCTGCTTTCATCTTTGTGAGGTTCCAGTGGGTCCGGCGATGAGATATTATTTAGCTATTGCTTTTCTATTCTGGTTGATGTAGTAGCCATTCAGTTATGCTGGTCTATCCATGCTGAGAATACGAAAAAAAAGATGACAAGGGCATGCCTCCATGACAACAATGCCTTGACCTGGAGCCCCATATAATCAGCACAGTCAATTTCTGGCATCATGTGTTTGGAACTTTGGGACTGTTTCCGGTCATGGTTCCAGAGGGCTTGTTTTTCACATTTTTTAACCACCCAACATACCCAACAAATCTAAGTTTGGCATCGCATCCGATTTTGGATTTGTTTGATTGATGATGATGATGATCATCATCATCATCATCAACAACATCATCATCATGAAACCTTTCACAATGAAAAACATCCAAGCCTTCAAACCTATTTCTGATGCATTATATTTTTCAGGATTCTAGATGTTCTGAGTTTTACCCATGTTTTCTCCACGTTTCTTCCCAGCGTCAAAGCGCAGAGAGTCGAAGCTACCAGCAGGTGCTGGTCGCTTCGGCGGGCGTCTCGGAGAAGTATCCCATGGGCAAGTCAGAGGTGCGGTTCCAGCTGGGGCACTCTGTGCGCAGATCGCAGGAGATCATGAATGTACCACCAAATGCTAATGGGCGAGCATAGAGGTGTACTGGGGATATATGAGGAAATTTTGAGGTTGTAGTAAGATATATAATGCAACAAACTGGTGAATTTGCCTCAAACAAATTTAAGGAAACCCTAAACTTTGAACCAACATTCTAAACTTCTAAACCAACTATTATCTAAAAACTAGCCTTGAATATCCTTGAATAAATTTCAACCCAACCGTGAAAACACACAAACAACTTTCAATAAATGTTTCAAAAAAGTCTAACATAAACCATACACTTACAGCAAATAAACCCTAAACGAACCTTAAATAAACTTCAGACCTATCCCAAGAAAACAAACCTTAAATCAACCCGAAACCAACCCCAAACAGAGTTTCAACCAACCCTAAACCAATCCCAAATAAATCCCAAACCAACCCGAAAGAAACACCAGAAACCATACCCAGGGCAAAGGGCCTGAAAAAAAAAAACTGGAAAGCTGGAAAAAAAAAACGGGGGAAACCGGCACCCCTAGAAAGATCGTACATATTCATTGCATGTTGGGATTAGACACTAAACACGGGGATCATTGAGCATCAAGTGTGCGTACAGACTTCTTGGGGGCAAGTTGCTGGGAGCTAAGTCCAACAACAAGCAGACCCAGGCCACAGTTGATACGCTTTGGAGCAACCACTATAATATATTTCTGTGGTGCTGCGGGTGATGCAAAGCGATTGTGCTAGGCAACCCTTGAAAGATTTTCTATCATTGATCGAATTTTGTGGCTGCTTTTTTCGCATGATATTCTCATGAATCGTTGGCTGCATTCTATGTTCGATGGGAATATGTTGGCATCAATTGCTAGTTGCATTCATGTTCATGTTCTGTTTGATGGGAATATCAGAGTGTAGCCCGGGATTTCCTTTGACCTTTGATTTCCCATCAACTTTCATGTTGATCATCCAACTCGGCCACTGCCTTGCCATGATTGCCGCCGTCGCAGGCCATGAAGACGGCCATCGAAGGCATGGAAGGGCCACAGGCTTTTCCAGCACAGGCCTGGGGGACGTTACCCTGGTAGCGGTTAAGCTGTGATAAGTTGCGATGTTTGCTTACAAAGGTTGGGGTTTCATCCACCATTGGACCGGAATATAGGTGATGATAATAATGTTCGATGTTATATACTATATACTTCACATTCTTGGGATAGAAAATTGCAGGGAATGATTAGAAAGAATTGCATCATCAACATATTTGGACAGCAAGGCTACCGCCCTGAACCTAGGGGAATCCTGTAAATACAGGGAGTTCCCAAATGCTGTAAGCCATTCTTAGGCTTCCAGGCGGCCTGGCAGTTCCTTTCACCTTGTGTTGCCCTACCAAAGATGTCGCTCACTGTGCCCACCAAAAGGTGAAAACAACACTAAAAAAGATCACCACCTGTTTAATAACGCTACTTTTCAGGGGGGACCATACCAAAAGGTAAGATGCATTTTTTGGACCCCCCCCTTACATCGAAAATTGGTTGCTGAACGTCCCCCAGGTGTCATTTTTGTGGGGAGGGTCTTCAAAATACCTTCAAAATGTAAGTTTACATTTTCAAGGAATTTCAAGGCCCCCCTCAAAAACACCTTTAACAATGTAGCTCACATTTTGGGTACGTCCCCCCTTTAAAACGTTGGTGATAAAACCAATAAGTTGACACAAGAATGGACCATTAAATACGAACACATATATTGTATATATATATATCATATAATTTTATAATATATATTTATATATTATATATTATATATATCCCACACTGTTCCCAGTATTTTCCAACGAAGTGTTGATTTCAAGTCCGTTTAGGATTATTAACCATGTGGGGAGCTTGGCAGTTTCCATGTTTGTGATGCACCCAACGCCAGCTGCCCTGTTGGATCGCAGCAGGTGTTGAGATCCACAGCAACGTGGCTGCTGGATGAGGCCAAGCGGACATGTTGGGATCTAAAGTTAGTATCCTGAACCCTGAATTACTGTTGCACATCTGAAATAATCTGTGAAAACCCAGTTCTGAATACGGAAAGACATGCAAACCTGAGGTTTGGCTTGAGTTCGATCCTGGCTTCAAGGAGTTCCCCACTATTGGCGTTCGAAGCGTTGTGAAATGGTCACCCCCCCATCCTGGTTGATGAATGGCCCTGGGAAGGCCGCAGCCTCCAAGCTGAGTCGGGGAACCAGGAGGATCCCCAAATTGACCAACCGAATCGGTTGTAACAATCAATCAATCAACCAACCAACCAACCAATCAATCAATCAATCAATCAATCAATCAATAATCAATCCATATGGCTGGTGTATGACATTGCTTTCACAACATTTTAATGTTTGCACTTGTCGTTTGTGAATTTTCGCTGCCAAAGAAATCCCTTTTGTGGTTTGAACCAGTCTGCTCGTCGCTTTTTCTCCGAGGCCCTGAGTATCGAAGCTGACAAGCGGATGATGAAAGATGTGCTCCTCAGATATTGAAACCCGATTTTCAAAATGTTTAAGACTTGGGAGATCCACCGGTTTTGGAAACCCTGGATTTGAGCAAACTAGTGCGGATCATCATGTTTGGATTTCATTTTTCCACGCTGTTGCGGGGCATCCGCGGCATTTGGCGAGCGGATCCGTCAATTGATTTTATCGATTTTTAAAATAGCGATAAGAATAGAAAAACTAAGTCTGCATGCAGCAAAACAAGGCCGAGGGAATCATGTCAATGTCGGGCGGCTCGCTCAGGAATAACCCCGAAAATGAGGTCTTTTCCAGTCACCTGAGATTTTTAAGGTGAACTATTTGAGTCAAGATTTTTCAAACCTGTCCCTTTAACCAAACAAATTCAAACCTACTGTATGTTTGAAAGTGCCTTGGACATAGTTTTTTTTGTTGATGCGTTTTTATTGGTGCAGAGCTGGGGTTTGACCAGAACTGGGCATGCCGTATACTCCAACCATAGCACTGTCAGCGGGAAAAATGATGACAGCCCATTGGATTTGGGGTACCCTTCCCACCTTGGATTGATCCAAGTCCATCTGACTGAGTCGTGTTTGTCGGGCTGTACGTTTTGTCACCAACCAGGTGGTTCTACTACTTGCTTTCGAACTATTGACATCTATTGACTATTAAGTGATAGTACATCACATTGTAGACTCGAATTGGGCTGTGACTATGTAGACATTTCCGATGTAGTATTTTGTTGAGCTTTTGGAGATTGATTCTGCACCTTGTCGGCCCAAGATCTCAACTCCTTACAACCCACTGCGCCGCCATCCTCGACATGTCTGGCAGCATTTCAGCGTCAAGCGCTTGGAAGTGCGTTGTCATCATTCGTGGGTGTACTACACAGATCCCGTGGTGAAAGCTTGGGAGTTGGGGGGGGTTACCCCATGTATCAGGTGTCAGTGTAGCTGTTTGATTTTCAGATGTAGCTGGTGTGTTTTCTTTTCTTTACATTGGAGTGCGCACCTTATTATTCTATCCTGCATATTGAAAGGGGTATCATCAGCCATAGATTATCCAAACGAACATTGGGATCTTCAATAACTTCCCAACTTTGGTGCCCAACGTCGTCCTGCCATGGCGGACGCGGACACAACACCGACAGGGTCGCGAAACCGTGCGAGGGACACGGTATTTCAACTTCAACATGCTTCAAGGCATTACATTGACACTTGGTATCTTGATATTTTAGATGAATGTCAATCTCGTGGATTCTCCATATACAGTAGGTAGTTGACGTCTACTGAAAGAGATGGTAGGACTTCCCAGAGCAGATCGCAAAGCGGGTTTTCCGGTACCCCTGAATCTAGTGGTTCATCATCATCTTCCCCGCTACAATTGGTCATACCGGTATACAAAATTCCCTTGGATTGCTGAGTTGGTGATATCTTTATTTTCCAAATGGGACTTCACCCTTTGTGGGGAATCTGTATGGATTATGTTTTATTTTTGGGGGGGCCCGAATCAGCAAATCCATGACATTAGGATGGAGCCTGATCAAACATTGAGTGTTGGTGATTGCCATCACAACAAATCATGTGGATTAAGAGGGGGAAAAACATAAGATTTACCAATGAAAATGGGGATCCAAGTTTCTCTTCGAACCCAGATGTCCATCTGGACCAGTTTGTGCCTGCAGTGGGATTCCAGTCCGACCTGGGGCCCCCAGGCCACCAATCCCAGGACCAAAGTGTCTCGTATTTGCTGCTGGGTGTCATCCTGGGCGCCCTTGGGTTCATCATTGCAGCACCTTGCTGGAGCAGAAAAGCTTGGTGAATGGGGCGGCTAAATATGGCTGCAGCTTTGGTTTGGATCATATAAGTTGGGGAAGAGCCAAGTAATTGGAAAATCATGCTGTTGAATGCTGTTGGTGTATCTTTGGTTAGCCAACTCAATGCCCAAGAAACATCTCCAAATTGCGAATATTGAAGTTCCAGGCCAGAAAGGCCCATACCATGCTGACGATGTTCCTGGAATGGCCCACGATACTGCCACAATCAGATCGGATCCCAGGGAGTCCTTAGCACTTGTGTTTGGAGAGGTTGGCGTTTGAACGCCATGGACGCTGCAAGCCAATAGATGGTCCGGATAGTCCCGGATCATAAGTAACACCCCGAAATGCCTTTGCAAATTACAAGGTGTTCATCGGCTGAAGAGGGCACAAGTTTCCAGACCGGATGGGGCTTGTGCTGCACCGATTCGCTCTCACAATGGACTTCCCCAATTTCCAAGAAGGAACATCATGTGAAGGTCACGGCTAGTCTAGTCATTCTTTGTTAGCTTCCCTGGGTTTAGGGCCCCGTACATGTGTGAGTACCTTGATGATAGCCTTATAAGCGGATAGTAAGTGGGCATACCGCCGGTATAGCTCATTCAAAATGTGTCCATGGTCAAGAACCACATGCTCACAGTAGGAAATGGAAACTGTCTTCTGGTGTTAAGTCGCCCAAGGTGATACCATTGATGTTGAGGGGCTTCAGCGGGACCATTGGCACCAGCAAGCTGGAGAATTCCTTTCTGCCCGCAACGGTCTCTGAGCTGGTGTCGGCCCCTTGGGTGAGACCGCGCAGATGTTGAGGAAGAGCCAGTGTTCTTTAAACGGAAATCCCTGGGCCCAGAAAATTGCAGATTTAAAATGATTTTAATAGTGATGTTTTTTTTACACCAGCCCATCTTTAGGGTCACGTCCTGGTAGATTTTACAGGGGTGATTACGTGAGGATTGGTGGCCATATCAGACAAGATTTGTCCAGCGCAGATAGGGAAACCATTTTCGTTTTGCGGAGGTAAGGCCCCCATGTGTTGTACAATCATTGTACAATCAACATGCAACTGATGATGGCACATGGTGTGATGGTATACCAAAGCCACCCAAAAGAGGCTCCTCACACATGGTTTTTCTAGGGGTACCATTGCCTCCCAAATGCCCATTGCTGCGTCACCCATACATAACTGCAGTCGGTCGAACATGTTTCTAGTTTTTGAGCATCCCCGTCCCCAGTTTTTGTTGGTCATAACTCACAACCTTCTAATTGCGTGTGTTACACTGTTACATCTGCATTTGTTGCCTAGCCTAAATGTGTCCATGTCTTTTTTTGGTTGGTCAACACCAGTTCAAAATCCTTGCCGAGAAATGGGACTCGGTCGAAGCTCGGATTTTCTTTGGTTTCGAACTCCTGGCAGTGCCCTGGCGCAAAGTTGGTGACTGGTGGCGGATGCTAGGGGCACCCTCTGGTGAGACGGCCATGGAAATTTCCCATGCAGGATTATGTACTATGGCTTGCTTGCAAAAATGTGTTGATGATGCATGTCAAAAAGTTGTTTTAAGGGATGGATTGAAACCATCAACTCAAGATGATGCTGTCGAAGTTTGGACTGTCAAGGGATCTGGTGACATTTGTTTGTGGGACAGGAGACATATAGAAATCCCGAAATCCCATTTGTTTTTTGGAGGCATCCAGCATGCAGTCAGTAGTATTGAGGACCATCGAACAGCCGGAATGACAATCCCGGATCATTAAACCTTGGTGGATTGAAAGGGTTTTACCAAGATATTGTATGATAAATGGCAGAGAGAGAGAGAGAGTGGCCCAGTGGTAGAACCGTACAACCCAGTGATTTCTGAAAGATATGAACGCGTATCAGCGGGGATAATATGTGCAAATAAATCCAGGTGGTTGAATTCTCAACGCTTTTTGCCTGGCTTGTCGCCCAGGCCTTCTGTATCCTTCTTTCTTGGCATCTCGTCTGAAGCAGCTCTTGGGATCAGGGCTGTGGTTTCCAAGATGCCATGATTCACCCTACATGGAACGATGACTCAAATCGTCATCATACCGTTTTCTAGGGTGTGATTCAAAGTGACGCCAACAGAAGTTGTATGGGTTGTAGTTCGGGCCAGACTTGTGATTCCCCGAAGCCGGGAGAGTTTTCCCCATATGGCCCATGATTCTATATCGTTCAAAAAATCATATCGTCGTTATGAGGTACATGTTTTTCTGCAAGTACTTGGACGCTCATCACCCCATTCACCATACATAGATCCCGTCATAAACCTGGGGCAACTTCGCAAAGAGCATTGCGGCACTGCTACCCAGATCTAGCGATTCTCTTAATGACTTCCCAACTTAGATGCTCTGAAAAATCAACAATCATCAAGATCAGCAATGATTTTCTCGAAGATCTTCCATGATTTTCCTAAACCCCCTGGCCCCTTGGGATACGCCAGGTACCCCTTCAAGCTCCGCAACGCTGGCTGCATCCCAGCGGAGGGTGGCTGTTACCTCCCTGTGGGCCCCTGCACGTGCATCAACTTACTCCTCATTCCACACTTTACACTCGTCACTTTACACTCGTCACTTTAATCTCTACACTTTACTCTATACACTCCACACTCCACACTCTACACTCTACACTCCGCACTTTACATTTTACACTCCACACTCCACACTCTACACTTTCCACTCCACACTCCACACTCTACACTTTACACTCCACACTCCACACTTTACACTTTACACTCCTCACTCCACACTCCACACTCTACACTCCACACTCCTCACTTTACACTCCACACTCCACACTCTACACTCTACAATTTCCACTCCTCACTCCACACTTTACACTCCACACTTTACACTCCACACTCCACACTCTACACTTTACACTCCTCACTCCACACTTCACACTCCTCACTTTACACTCCACACTCCACACTCTACACACCACACTCTACACTTTCCACTCCAGACTCCACACTCCACACTCCACACTCCACACCTTACACTCCTCACTCCACACTTCACACTTTACACTCCACACTCCTGACTTTACACTCCACACTTCACACTCCACACTTTCCACTCCA